CTAGAATATCTTGTCTCTGTTGAATTAAAGGTAAAAGGAGCTGTTCACTTAAACTACCACTTCATGACATCACGGAGGAACAGAGCATTTTGAGCTTTGGACATGTAGACAGACTAATGGTCCATTCAGAGTCTATGTGGACGTGCGTCATGGGCGTCCTGCGTTTTTCTTCAGACATCAGCATGGTGCAAATCTGGCATTTGAGTTCAGATGCTCATCCAGAGCATCTGGAAAGCACTTTGCACATTTTTGTATGAAAAGTGCTTTATAAATAAAGGTTGATTGATTGATCGATTGTGATTTGAATGCTATTTAAATAAATGTAAATACATGTAAAATATGCCAAAAGTTATTGTTTTAATTGTCTACTATTTTTTGTATTTTGTGTTGTAATGTTTGATTTTATTCCATTAACTCTGCATCTGTGTGTAACTTGGTTTAATATGAATAAAATATGTTATATATTTTATTGTCTCATGCTCTTTTCTAGACTGGACAAGGGATAACTACATTCAACACATTCTATTAAAAGGACTGCTTCATGACATCACAGGGTGGAACAGAGCATTTTGATTTTAGGATTAGGAATACTTGAACATGTGAATGAAACAACACAACAACACAATTACGTGTGTGTTTTTGTGGAGGTAACAACGTTAAGATCACAAGATTGCTAAACTAAGAGTCAATTTATATAGAACCTTTAAGTTCTATTCTAAACTTATACCACTAGAGGGCATTTATCTGAGAGTAGCATTAGAAGAACATCTCCTGAATTTTTATTTAAAATTCATACGTACTATTTTTCACATCATACATTTAAAAAAGCAATAGAGCTGTTTAAGGTTTCCATTGAAGATTCTAAAAACTGTCTTTGTTCTACTCAGTGACCAGCAGATGGCAGTAAAAGTTATTTTTGCAGTGTGCAGTTCTGGCTGAAAGAGGAAGGAGATTGAGTGGAGAAAACAGTGGCCGTGTTCTCCTCTCCTCTCCTCGATTCTGCAGGAAATGGGTGAGGAAGTCCCACCCACAGAGGAGACACACAGAGAGAGAGAGAGAGAGAGAGCAGAGAGAGAGAGGAGAGAGGAGAGAGAGAGAGAGAGAGAGAGAGAGAGAGAGAGAGAGAGCAGAGGGGAGAGGAACAGAGGAGCAGAAGAAAGAGGAGAAGAGAGAGGAGCAGAGGAGAAAGAAGAGCAGAGGAGAGAGAGGAGAGAAGAAGAGAGAAGAAGAGAGAGAGCAGAGAGAGAGGAAGAGAAGAGAGAGGAGAGAGGAGAGGTGGAGGAGCAGAAGAGGAGAGGAGAGAGGAGAATAATTATTTTATAAGATTTCTTTTCCAGGACAATCAGAGTCAACTCAGCGTCTCTGGTTTCAGATAAATGTGTTTGAACATGTTTTTATCACATTGAATGTCACATTCAGGATCTTGGAGCAGGTCAAAGCTCCTTTGCTGTCGTCCCTGTACAGTCCCTGTGTATTTGTCTTACTGTGAGACAAATACTGTTTTATTATTGTGCCTGATGTGTGCCTCCTGAACCCTCGCTCAGGTTTCCTCTGAGGTTTCCTTCCCTCACCTCCTCTCAGCTTTGGGACACTTAATCTGGTACATTTGATTGACAGCTGGAAGATGGAGACTCAAGGAGAGGAGTCAAGTAGAAGGAAGACAGCAAAAAGAATTGAGATGAGGCCAGTGAGCGTCTTCAGAGGTCAGTCATGTGGAGTTACAGTCAGACACTCAGGTGCTCATTAAGGATCTTTGGAAACAAGCAGCAGAAAAGAAGAACTCTCCAAGACACTGTGAACTAAAAATCCTTTATTATTTAAGGGACATGCCGATGCATTTGGACTTTTATGTGGTCTTCATCAGAGCAAGCAGAAAGCTCCAGGTAACAGGTAGAATTAACAGTGATGACAACGATTATTAGAAGAAGAATCAGGAATCATGGAGAAGAGAAAGTGTCTGAGTTCAGTCCTGTTTGGTCCTGTGTTCCAGCACATGTACAGTGATGAGAGCTGACAGCATGAGCAGCAGTCCCACACAATACACCAGAGTCTTCATCATGCACACACTCCACCCCAGCACCTCCTCTGGACCTGGGACAAAACACACACACACATTAGTTTACTTATGTCACTCAAACACAGTTAACATCATTTTAACATTAGAGAAATTACTTAAAATATTGTCTTGTTTACTGTAGTATTTTTAATTTTGATGAAGTTTATCTTTTTAATTCCTGGTTCACAAGGACACCAGATATGGAACAGAGGTAATTTCACAACTATTACCTAGAAACTACACTGTTAAAAGAGCCAAAAATATTGTGCAATGAATAGAAAAAAATATAAATTTGATTTAATGGGTCTGTGTCAAAGGTTTCAACTGATCAAATAATATGTTTAAAGGGATAGTTTGGGTTTTTTAACACAAATCTGTATGGCATCCCTGTCAGCAGTGTCGTGCCTCCACACTGACTTACCCCTGACAGCGTCCAGTGAGCTGAGATCCTTGGCTCTTCATCGTAACAATCCAAGTGGTAAACAAAGTGAAACAGGCACAGCTGTCACCTGGCGTCAGTGCGCAGTGATACGAACGGAAAGAAAACAGCGCCAAGCGATTATGAGGTTTATCTTTTTTGTTGACAAAGGTTCTGCGATGCATGTAGGCTGTGATACAACTGTATCACTCTTTTGAACACATATTATTTTGGAAACAAAAACGCTTCATTTTCATGACCCCAACCAACTTGCCGGACTACTTTTGTCAGCACCAAAACCGGCCAGGATCTCGGCTCACTGGACGCTGTCAGGGGTAAGTCAGTGTGGATGCACGACACTGCTGATGGAGATGTCATACAGATTCATGTCAAAAAACCCTACCTATCCCTTTAAGTAATGACCATGTTTACAGTTTCCTTTTTTTTTTTTTTTTAAATATATAGCAACGACACATCTTATGTAAAAAAAAAAAAAAAGGGGGGGTTTGCAGTCATTTAACATGCACGAGGTTATAAGCATCGGTCTATGGTTATAACTGTGACATGGTAATAACTATATGATTATAATCACAGACAATTTCAAAGTTTATTCTTAGAAATAGAAAAAAAAAGATCTTATTTGACCATAATCATCAAAGTGAGTCTTAGACAGACTTAACTCGACTCTGCTCTGTTTTCAAACAGCTTCAATACATGATTCTCACAGAGTTTGATCAAGTATTTATCAGGAAACACTTCAGGAAACAAATCTCAAAAATGAAATGTGTCTGTTTATTTGTTTACCGTTGCTAGTTCAGCGCTTGTGCCAAAGTATCTGGGCATTGCACAGTTTAAAAAATGGTGTCAAACTGGGTAAAGGTTTCAAATCACGCAATGACACCGAGGACAGTTTAGCAGTTTCAGTGTTCACCGAGTTTGCAGCTCTCGGGTTTGGGTCTTACCCGTCTCACTTCTGATGCACCTTTGAAGTGTGTCTTTGGTGTCCGTGGTCCAGCTGATGTGGTTGCTATGGTTACATATTATTGACTGGTTGGACAGGTAAAGGTGCAGAGAGGAGTATCCAAAGTTGGCGTGTCCATATGTTTGTGGTGTTTGCTCCTCACAGTTGTGTGTGTCACAGGTGAAAGAGCGGCTGATGTTGTACAGTTCAGTTGTGCAGCTCACAGTGAAGTTACACGACTCTGAGCTGCTGGACACAGAGGACACACTCAGCTCCACTGGAGACACTGGGTCTGTGGAGACAACATTACACCGGTCACATTTATATCTGTGTTTGTGGGATTATTAGTCACATTTTAAGCAATTCCTTTCTGATTTGAAGGTTTTTGTGAGAACCTTCCTCCATTCAAAAGTTACAACAGTTTCATTTGATTTGCATTATCGCTATTGATACTGTGCAGTGACATGACTCTTGGGGTGTTCTGAATGCATGTGTACGGCAAAATGTTCAGCAGTTACCATGGTGACAAAATGAACACTTTAGCAAACACTGTCAAAAAAGTTTTAAGATAATCTGAAAAATTCTAGAAAAAGTACAAAATAGATTTCAACACATTTTTCGGAGTCTATGGTCAGTGGGTGGTTTTCAGATTCTAGAATGTGATGATTTTCCTTTTGTACTTGTAAATATCCAAAAGGTAAAATCACAATAGTTGAATCAAACTGGTATGTGTAATTACTGACTAAACCCTAGAACTCACTTTCTTAGATATACATGCTGGTAATCCTATGTTATGGCAGGATATTACTACATTATTGACATGTTTGATACACTTTGTGGTTAAACATACACTTTTGAAAGGCAGTTGTGTCTTGTTTGATGAACAAAGGACAAAAACAAAGCTAGAAATGAGACGTGAAGCATCATCACTTCACAAGCCCAGAAAAACACAGAGATATAGAACAGCAGATCTCACACTGACGACCACCGTCTATTGGAACGGATGTGTCAACAAAGCCGCCATCTTGGTACAGGGGATCGCTGCTTTTAATGAACGAACATCAATCAGGGACAAGATGGGCTCAGGGTTCTCTCTATATATCTTTGTCTCTCTCTCTCTGGTTTAGTCCTGGTTCAGTCTTGTTTTAGTCCTGGTTTAGTCCTGGTTCAGACTTGTTTTAGTCCTGGTTCAGTCTTGTTTTAGTCCTGGTTTAGTCCTGGTTCAGTCTTGTTTTAGTCCTGGTTTAGTCTTGTTTTAGTCCTGGTTTAGTCCTGGTTCAGTCTTGTTTTAGTCCTGGTTCAGTCTTGTTTTAGTCCTGGTTTCAGTCCTGGTTCAGTCTTGTTTTAGTCCTGGTTTAGTCCTGGTTCAGTCTTGTTTTAGTCCTGGTTTAGTCCTGGTTCAGTCTTGTTTTAGTCCTGGTTCAGTCTTGTTTAAGTCCTGGTTCAGTCCTGGTTCAGACTTGTTTTAGTCCTGGTTCAGTCTTGTTTTAGTCCTGGTTTAGTCTTGTTTTAGTCCTGGTTCAGTCTTGTTTTAGTCCTGGTTCAGTCTTGTTTTAGTCCTGGTTCAGTCCTGGTTCAGACTTGTTTTAGTCCTGGTTCAGTCTTGTTTTAGTCCTGGTTCAGTCTTGTTTTAGTCCTGGTTCAGTCTTGTTTTAGTCCTGGTTTAGTCCTGGTTCAGTCTTGTTTTAGTCCTGGTTCAGTCTTGTTTTAGTCCTGGTTTAGTCCTGGGTTCAGTCCTGGGTTCAGTCAGTCTGGTCAGTATCTTAGGCCTTCAAAATAAACTCTATGATATGTTAGGCCTTGCTCTTTCATCTTGTTATTGCGCTTGTTCGCATGTTCGTATGTGGTGCAAAATTCTGTCATCTTCGCTCATTGATACTGTGAAAACTTTATTTTAGACCATGGACGCCTGTACCAAGATATTAACACACGCTAAGAGGCTGAACGCGAGATCTACCGTTTTACATCTGTGATAAAAACATAGGATCATTGTCAGGACAAATCTTTCACATCAAAGAAATAGAATACCAGGCAAAAGCTGGACACACTTTCTCATTCCATTTTTTTATGTTTACTACTTTTTGCATTTTAGATACAAACAAAAGCCCTCAATATATGAAGCAAGACATATGCAATTACAATATGTAGCAAAGAAAAACACGTTTAAATGCTCAACTGAATAATTTTTTGTGTTTTATATTCAAATCCTTAAAGTATCCACCGTTTGCTTTGTTGACAGCGCTGCAAACCCTTGACCTTCTCTTAATGAGCTTCATGATTTAGTTTCCTGAAATGGTTTTCACTTTACAGTTGTGCCTCATGGTTAAGAAATTCAAAGTGCAAAACAGTGATCAATGCAAAGAGTGGCTTTTTTTTTTTTTTTTTTAATCTAAAACAACTTTGGAGTTATTTTGAGTTTATTTTTGTTGACTACATTCCATTATGTTTTAACTCATAGTTTTGATGCCATCAGTGAGAATCTACCATGTAAATAATTATAGAAAAGAGCATAAATGAAAAAGTGTGTCCAAACTTTTGACTGAAACCCATGAACAGACATGAGTTTGAACCCACCTTCAACTATGACCTCAAAGTCACAGAGTGTTTCATCTTTGTTTCGAAGAGATCACAGACGAGTAGATCCCACTGTCGTTGACTTGGACATTTTTCACAATCAGAGTCAGGTTTAGTGGAGAAAAGTCGACTCTGTCTTTGTAATCTGCATTTATGGTGGTTCTATTTCCAAATGACCGTATGATGTTGTAACCGTTGTATTTCCACAGGACTAATGTATTGCCCCCTCTATAACTTTCTGGGAATTCCAGCTGTAGATCTTGGTTAATCTCAAGAATCACTTTCTGTTTACTTACACCTGGAAAAAAAAAAGAAAGAAAAAATTAAAAAGTTATATTATGCAAAATTGACTCATTTTAGCCATGTTAGAATACTGTTTCCTTCTCAAAAACAGACCCGATGTTGTGTTTTGTTTCATTCACACATGTTTAAGTATCTGGATGTGTTAGTCTGTCTACATCGCTAAAGCTCAGAATGCTCTGTTCCACTCTGTGATGTAGTTTTTAAGTTAACAGCTACCTTTTTACCTTTACCTTTGTTTGTCAGTTCTAGAGCTGAAGTTATCCAAATTTCTTGTAAAGGTGCATGGAGTTTAAAAGCACAGTGGAAAAGTGTTTATAAAGTCTTCAGGGTGAACAATTACAATGTCTGAAATGCAAAAAGGTAAGGGAAGAATAACTCTGGACCACTGCAAGTCGTTTAAAATGAACTAGACGTGTTTTTCAAGTCTTTAAAACATAGTGAAAATCAGGATCTTCAGCACCAAGAATAAATACATAAAATTATCTTCAACTAATGAAATCATGGTTATCAGAACTAATGGAGCAGGAGTTTGTTTTCATACTGCGGTCTTCCTCAGAGCGGTCATGTGATGTTGTTGCTGTGACGTGTCGCTCATCTTAAACAGGTTTTCTGCAGTCCCACTTCCTCAGGACAGTATCCCAGGTGTGTGAGAGTAAAAAAGCCCGCTCGTCCCGGTCTGTATTCCCGTGGACACGTTTCTGTATTTTGATTGCCTCTTTAATCGAGCGAAGATGTTTGTTTTCCTCTGTCCCAGTGAGGTTTGCTCCGTCCCAGTCCATAATGTGCTTTTCTCTTTTACACTCGTCACAAACGGCCGATTGGAGTTGCTCCTGTTGTGTTTTGTGTTGCGCCTTCGCTGTTTCCTTCTCACATTCTGTCCTGTTTTCCTTTTTTCATGTACTGAACGCCCTCCCTGTTTCCCCGATGTGTTTTATTACAGGACATGCAGGGTATATGATGTTACATTTATGCCGATATGAGATAGTATTTTGACCGCCCCCATAGGATTTTGACTCCCCTTAATTTTAGTTACTTATCTGATCATTATTCTCATATGTGACCAGGACGGGTAGAGCGGCTGGATTGCAGTGAGAAATCGAGAACAGATGATGGGGGCAGGTTTAGTGTGGTCCACAAAATTTTTAATTTCTTTTTCCAAAATTCCCAAAGTGCCGGTGCAAAAAGTGCAGGGAGGATATGGAGCAGCAGGTCTCTCCAGCAGCAAAACATCGAATGGTCTGATTAGGCGCCTTATATACTACTGGATAAAACCATTAAAACTCCAAGGGGTGTAAAATAACATTAGCTGTATAAAACTAAGTTAAAATCCTCCAATAAAATACCCATAGCCAAATAAACTATATAAAACCCAAATACAAAAATAATAAAACCCTAAAACTAATTCCTAATAAAACCCAACGTGAATATCCCAATTAAAAATGAGTGCTATTCCCCCCCCCCGATGTCCGCCGTGATGAGTTGGCCCGGAACTCTTAAAAGGTGTCTGGTTCCCCGGGGAATCTTTTCGCCAGACACCTGGACAGAAGACACGGGTAAGTAAAAGCACTATCAAATACCAAACATGCACGCACATACCACTCTCACACTCTAAAATACCCACATGGCACACACGCAAACACACACAAGACACAACTAATTTAAAACACGGCACATATATTGCACACTATCCAATTGTAACTTTCGGTGTATCTCCGCAGACCGGCGGCCGCCAAACCCGGAAGTGCCCGTCCGACCGGCCCACGTGACACCCGAAAATGTTTCAATAAATATATATTTTTAAAACAATACAAATGTGTGCAATTCTTAATATGTTAATATGTGCAAATTAGCGCATCTTATAAGTGCTTCGTGCTATACTGTGCAATGTAAATATATATAAAGTGCAAAGTGAATGAAAGTGCATGTGTAATTATTACGTAACGAACAGGCCGTTCGTTACACATATAATTAACTTTTATTATATATTGCTACATATTCACAATCTTTTAAGGTATTTTAAGAAATGTTTTGATGGATAACGACTTGGTATTTTGTGTGAATGTAACGTTTTGTTAAAACTGCATATACAGAGCAATCTTGTCACTTTTTATATTGTATTTTTATTACATTGTTATGTTTTTAGTTTGCTATGTTCAGATAATCCACATGTAATTTTAAGTGAAGTTATTGATTACAGAAACCATTTAACAAATCTTCTCCTTTAACTTCTCTATTGATCTTTAGCAAATCTTCTCATATCCCCTATTTAACTACTCAACTGATCAGCCCTGTCTATTTGAACAAGATTCCAAATCATTATACATCACTTTGATTAACTAACTAAGTCATTTTTAACATTCAAAAGTTATAATCGACATAAAAAATGCATCTGAGTTCTTCAAAAAACACTTTAAAATATGTCAGTATGTTTTATTTTGCAGATATAGTATTAATATTCAAAGTTTTTCTATAGAATTTGTCACGCAGGTCACTTGGACTCAAATGCAACACAAGCATGCAGGCAAACAAAGGCTTAATTCAATAACAGAATGTGTCCTTTGACAGGTAATGTTTAAAATGGCAAATCAGACTAAAAAGGATCTACAAAGGAATATATGATTTATTTAATGTGAACTAAAATCTCTTCCAAAAACTGGGAAAATACTGCTGGGATAAAACTCAAACAGGTACTATAAACGAGTAAAGCAGGACGCACAAAATGCAAACAACCGACTACAGATCAGAGTTTCAGAGAGCTAGAGTGTGTGTCTTCACTGGTCAGCAATCTGGCAAAGACTGAATGAGCAGGAGGAGTATAGGCGAGTTTCATTGTTGACAAAAGTGCGCGTTGCATGCTGGGAATTATTTTGGTCGGCGGTAAAAAACACAAATTCAACATGACGGACGGAGTGAGAAAACACGTAAAGGGTATTGATCCCGGGTTATTTATCCACTCTAACAGCAGAGGACCCACGATGATTTGACCAGAAATTGGTCATAAGCATCGATGGACGACAAATCACCCTTTTCAACCCCGACAAAAGGTGGACCAAACCAAATTTCTGGTCAGAATCGCCAACTACCTGGACAAATATTCACTTTGGCGATATCCACAATGACTTGGTGGAAACTCCTGGGCCATTCACAGCAGAAAAGATGAAAACCTCCAAGAGTCTCGATGTGTTGTTGAACTTGTTGGAGTCCACGGTTTGTTAGGATCTTCTACGTTTGTTCTGCGGAATGTTTGAAAGACATTTAATTCATCGTTAGTGGTTCTTTTCACTCAGAATACGAAAAAGACATTTTCCTTCTTCCTGTGCTTCTATTTGTGCATCCGATAATGCAGCAGGTAGAGCTGGGTATCATTAAGAAGTTGCCGATACGATACATACCTCGATACATAGGCCACGATACGATACATATCCCGATACAGTGCACTTTCAGTTCGATATGATATATTTCAAATCGATTCGACACGATACAGTTCAACAAAAAAATAATGACAAAATGTTGGATGTGGTACTAAAAGGGTTTGTTAAACCACTTCTTGTGCCAAATGAATACGAAACACACATTTTACTCATCAAAACAGTGAAAATGTTAAATCTGTCACATAAACAAGTCTCCTTTCAAGTTTCCAAACAACAAAACTGTAGCTGTAAACAAAATAATTTTGTAAAATATAGCAAAAAATACTCTTGGAAATATATCGATACAGCAGCCCACAATATCGATACTGTATCATCATATTAAACGATACGATATATTGATATTTCAATTAGTGCTGTCATGCGATTAAAAAAATTGAGAGATTAATTTATTATGATCTGTAATTAATTAATCTCATTTTAATCTCACCTAAAAATTGCTGAGAAAAGCTTCAATTTGAGGTATTTTCATTTAAATTCATTATTACATTATTGTGGCAGATCAAAAGACTGATATAGAACAAAAAAAAGTGACTTTATAAAGTCATTTATTGTTTAACAAATCTCTCCAAATTGTCTGTTGAGCCCAAGTCTCCATGAATAAGAAACTGTTTGTTGTAAAGTAGCAAAGACGAGGAAATCTGAACATAATAACTTTTGTCGACTTAAAGACAATAAAAAGTCCAGTCTTTCCTTAACCATATTAAAAATATCATTGATAGAGAAATGCTTTCTATATGAGATCACTGGTTTTAGTCCTTGTTTTAGTCCTGGTTTAGTCCTGGTTTAGACCTGGTTTAGACCTGCTTTAGTCCTACTTTAGTCCTAGTTTAGTTCTGGTTTTAGTTGTGGTTCAGACCTGGTTTAGTCCTGGTTTTAGTTCTGGTTTTAGTTCTGGTTTAGTCCTGGTTTAGTCCTGGTTTTAGTCTTGGTGTTAGTTCTGGTTTAGAGGCACAGGAGGAAGCGCGGTTTACGCAGCGTAGCGAGAAAACACGGTTCACACGCGGCGCACGGGAGCACGTCGGTGTCCGCGCAGTGTCTATGGAAGGAAACGTGGTCCGCGCGTTCTCAGGTTAATGACGATGATGAAGGTGTGTGTTTGTGTGTGTCTGTGTGTGTTTGTGTGTGTTGTTTGTGTGTTTGTGTGTGTGTGTGTGTGTGTGTGTGTGTGTGTGTCCCCTCATGTGGCAGGTCTCTATAGGACAGTAGTGCAGACATCATGAGCCTATGCAGGTTGTTTTCACCAGTGACATTTAAGTTGTAGGCGATTTTATATTTGTTATTTTCTTTTATATTTCATGTCAGGAGAATAATTTCCAAGACACAAATGTGTTTTACCTGTGCACTGCTGCCTCTGTTCTACTGGCTACTGGACGTTTACATCGCTCTTACTGCGCGCATTTTGTGTGGGTTTCCGACAATGAGTGGAATTACCGAAATAAAAAAAATGTATAAATGTGTTTTTTGTGTGTGTGTTGTTGTCCCAACAACACATAAAAACTGGTTTAATAATAAAGCAACTCGCATACAGAAACAGTAAATTTAGAGATTAAAAATGAGATTAACG